GAAATAGCAGATACTAAAACATGGTCTCTCTCTTAAGCTCTAAAAAACCCCATGCCCATGATCCCTTTTGTTTCATCACCACTAAAGATCCATGCGCCTGGAGAGTGAATGCTTTTAGTGATATGGGTTTCTCTCATTCATATGGTTTTCCTTATTAACATAATTCAAATAATCCGAACTTGACATTACAAAGGCTCAAACTCAACTTTAGAGCTTGAAAGTCCAAAACAGGGGTAATATGAAAAAAGAATGAAAAAGAAATGGGTATAAACATAATAGCGAATTTTTGAAGAGGATTTTTGAGATAACGATAATTTGAGGGGATTTTAGTATACATTTTTCTATATTTTATTTCATTAAAACAAATTAATTAGTTTTCTATATTTTATTTCATTAAAAATAATTATTTTAATTTATTTTGAAAATTACTCCTTTTAAAATATTTCTTGAAAAACATAATCTTCTTAAAAATCAAACAGTGAAACAGGTCATTGTGATCAAACACGCTCAAATATTTTCTACACTCTTTTGAAAAGTACCGGAGGTAATCTCTCTCTTTCTTCACACTATGAAAGTAAGCTCTCACACACTATTGAAGTAATCTCTCTCACACCCACTATGAAAGTAATCTCTCTCACGCTCTCTCTCCACACTATGAAAGTAATCTCCCCCTCTCTCTCTCACACACCCACCAAAAGCTTTTTTTACACTCTCTTGGAAAAGTAGTTACACTATGAAAGCAATCTCTCTCACACACCAAAAGCTTTTTCTACACTCTCTATTGAAAAGTGGTTACTGTAGAAAATATAGAAATCTGCACTGATGTTTAGGAACAATATATTCTTTCTTTTTATGTGTATCCATATTAAGAAGGTAGTTCATTACATATGTTAGTTTTTTTAGTAGTACACAACTTTATAACCCTATAAATTGGAGCTCTTGTTCACATCTTTGATAAACTCAATAATACATCTTCATAGGGGCTTAAGGCCCAATTATATATAAATACAGTTTATTCACATGGTATCAAAGCCAAATTAATGTTCATCGTGTCTATTGTGTTATTCCTTGATTGAATATGTTAATCTTCGATGCTATCCGTCTCATAGAGCCGTGAAACCGACGGAAAATATTGTCTATGGCTTGTCGTTTATGGGCCATAGGATCTTTGTGCCTTCTTTCCAATCGAAGGAAAATATTGTTTATCGCTTGTCGTTTATGGGCCATAGGATCTTGTTCCTTCTTTGCATCATCATGGAAAATAGACCCAATAGCGTCATTGTTATCCAGAAATTCCTTCTACTACTTGCCAATGCTTTGTTTCAAAACTAAGCCCTGTAGTCCTCTCTATCTCTCTCTAAAAAGAAAGACATCAAATCATGGCCATGTATTTGCTTCTTCTCTCTAAAAATTCAGCGCCAGGCCGGACCCGGCCTCCATGAGCGAGTAAACTGCTACTGTAATTGTAATTCCACAGAAAAATCCCAGCCTGACTCACTATGTAATTGCTCCGGCCCAAGCCCACAAACCCTGCTCTCTCTATCTCTTCTCTCCAGATGGATCTCTCTTCCATTCTCTGTTGTTTTTTTTTTTTTTTTATTACAGCTCCTGCAATTCTCTTGCCAATCACCACCCTCTCGTCTCTTTCTCTCTCTTAATAAGTTCAATAATATACGTTTATGAGAGCTTAAGGTCCAATTATATAGAAATACAATTTCTGACATAGTTATATGGAAGTAATATCTCTCTCTCAACACACACCATGAAAGCAATCTCTCTCTCATGCGTAAAAGGTATATATTCTTCTATGGCACCGACATGTGTGGGCAACATTAGAGTGAAATAGCATCTAACTAACAAACCAAAAGAAGAGAAAGACAAATTTGAAGAGTAAAATGTAGACAAATAAAATTGGATTGACATTGATTTATGCACCGAGTAATGAGTTAGGTGGTGACCTAAGTCTTAGGGTCACATGCCTTTCTATCTAATTAACCTGCCTCCTGTGATTCCCTTCCTTTATGATGGATGTTACATATTATTATACAACTACAATAGGGAAGAGGCTGAGAAAGTGACGCCGAAAAAGTTTCAACCACTCTGCCCATAAAATTTTGGATACATTTCTTTTTATATATATATATATATATTTTAGGGAAAAGTTTATGCATAGCCTAGGATCTAAACAATCAAATTAGAGCTTATCTAAAATATTTCACAAGAAGAGGTTGTTTTGATGCCCAAATATTATCAACTTGATCATCTCGACATCAAGATGGATAGAAAATGAGAAAAAAATGGATTTCAAGTTTTGGAAATAGTGCATCTTGTAACGCATTTTTGAACCGTCGATTTTCAAGATTTTCAAAGATTTGCTCAATATACACTATTTTTTGAAGCTTTAAATTTTATAATTAAAGCTGAAAATATATTTTAGGGCTATCATAAACAATTTCGATACGAAAGGCACTATTTGAAGGTGGGCTCTAATTTGATTATTTAGAGCCTCGACTCTATACAAACCGCACCCTATTGTTTATGGGGTTATATATTATGAGACCATTTATCTTTAATACAAGGATATCACAATTAATATTAGTCATTAGATGTCCGATTGGATGGCTTGACAATGTTTCACAAAGTTGAAAAAAAAATTTATTGGGCTTTGGGTTCAATCACAAGTACACTTACGACCATCTCATTGAAGTTTGATGGACAAAAATGGTTGTGACCTCCTTGTATTAAAAAATAAAGGGTACAGTTTGTATAGAGCCTAGGCTCTAACCAATCAAATTAGAGCCTACCTTTAAATAGTGTCGAGAAATGCAATTTCAATACTGGAAATCTTTGTGATAGACTTAAAATATATTTTCATCTTTATTTATACGGTTTAAAGCTTTAAAAATTGTCTAGATTGACAGGTCTATTAAAACTTGAAAATCTTGAAAATTGACGTTTAAAAAATACATTACAAAATGCACTATTTCCCAATCTTGAAATCCTTTTTTTTTTTCATGCCCATGCATCTTGATGTCGAGATGATTAATTTGATGATATTTGGGTATTAAAACAACATCTTCAAGTGAAAGTTTTGAAGTAGGCTCAAATTTGATTGTTTAGAGCCTCGGTTCTATATAAACTTTTTCCAAAAATAAATCTGTGTTTTTGTATACTTTTCTATTTTTTTATAATATATAGAACGAATTTTCCAATTAAAAAATGATAGGGTTGAGGTCGGCCTAACCTGGGTAAAGATCTTGACGGTTGGACCCCCAAGCTGCAGGTCTCAGCAAGCTCACGAAATCTTATATTTGTGGGTACGTAAAATTGTGAGCTCACCCGCCCGCAAAGGAACCATAAATAAAGGGCCAAAGCTAAGTGTTGGTACTAGAGGCTATAGACATCCCAATACAGTAGAGACCACAATAAAAACTCAGTAGTCATGGATTGCATAGAGGCTACGAACCTTTTCCATATATAATACCCCTTTCAAACTGACAGGGTGCGGTTTGTATAGAGCCGAGGCTCTAAACAATCAAATTAGAGCCCACCTTAAAATAGTGTCGAAAATTATGGTTTCAATACTGAAATTTTTTTTAATAGACTTAAAATATACTTTCATCTTTAATTATAAAAGTGTAGATCAAACAGATCTATGAAAAATTGAAAATCTTGAAAATTGTCGGTAAAAAAATACTTTACAAGATGCACTATTTTCAAATTTTGAAATCCTTTTTTGTCTCTTATGTCCATGCAACTTGTTGTTGAGATAATCAATTTGATGATATTTGAATATCAAAATAACCTTTTTAGTGAAATTTTTGAGGTAGGCTCTAATTTGATGGTTTAGGGAGTAGGCTCTATATAAACTTTTCCCTAAACGGATTGCTTCAAGTTTTAGGGTTCATTGCAAGAATCTTATTAAATTGGGTTAGTATGTCAATGGTGCACCTTAGGTTGACAACTTGTACAAACTTTTTCTATACAAAGAAAGTTCTTTTTTCAATTTAAATATCTATTTTACATTGACATAAATCATGAGCCATTTGTGGCCACCATTTGTTTCAAGGCATGTGTTCATTGTTTAAATGAGATGAGAAGCCATAGAAAAGGCAGAGAAGGCTGGGATCTTGATATTTTAAAGATCCATATCCCTTTAGTTGTTTAGAACCTGACCAAGTATGTGTCTACAATTATTGTGTAATGGACCCAGTTGTCTCTCTCTATCATTATTGGGTAATTGGACCCCTCTCTCTCTCTCTCTCTGGAATGTTATTTTTCTCCTCTCAAGGCAGTTACACAGTAAGATCTTCTCGTTTTCTCTCTCTCTGTCAATGTTACACAGTAAGATCACTCTCTCACTCAAGGTAGTAACACTTTAGGACATCTCTCTCTCCCCCTCTAAAATTAGTTAGTACTCTAAGCTCTCACTCTCTAGATAAAACACTCTAGGATCTGTCTTAAATGCTCTCTCTCTCATTCCCTCTCTCTAAAGGCAGTGAGGTAGTTAACACGCTCTAGGATCTCTCCCGTCAAAAGGTCGAACATGCAAATAGTTGTAGAGTAGCACATAATGGTCACTGAAACTGTCCCCATTGAAAACTCAGATAAAACCTGAACTCCGAGAAGGCAGAGAAAGCGTTTGTTCCTCCGAGTTGGACCATCAACAATGTCTTGAGACTTTTCATTTTAAACTGTCAGATGAGTGTTGAAACTAAGGTACAGAGAGAGAGAGAGGGAGAAGTGGGGGGAGAGAGATAGATATTTAGTAAGTTGTTAGCAGCAGGAAAGTCAAAAGAAAACCCAGAAGCTCATGGTGGAGGGAGAGACCAAAATTCAATCAACACAAAGGATGATGAATTTAGCAATAAGAACACTCTAGACACTGAAAATCACAATCGCAGTAACGAAAAGTGAGAAGGAAACCACGCCGAGAATGTAGGTTCCCAATCCTGCTTTTATTCATCAAACAAGCAAAACTGCAACCAAATTCATCTGTG